TGTAAAAAAACGTGTTTATTGCTCAGATTGTTGTGTCTGGTCGCATATAAGCTGCTATAACAAGAGGAAGTGTTGTGACACAGCAGCATCAGCTACAGCTGCAATTCTGGAGATTAACCCTGACGAGGATGCATCAGATAAGCATAGATCAAATACTCAACTTTCTCCACTACGGGAAAACTCAATTATAAAAGATGCAACTAAGGAGCAAAGGATTTCTACTGACAGTCTGTGTTTGTTTATCAAAGATTTACTCAGTAAAAACTCGGAGCTACAGCAGAAGCTGTACGAAGAGAGGAGGCAAGCGGAGATCAACCAACAGCGGCACAACACTTTGGTACAACAACAATTTTCACTTGTCAATGAACGTTTAGTTTTGCTTTTCAATGAGCTAGAAACAGTTAGAACACAATTAAAAACAGTATCCATCACATCGAGCTGTACAGCCTTGGTAAAAAACTTACCACCTATCGATATAAAACGACAAGAGATACGGATGACACCACATGAAAAAGTTCAAAAAGATGTGGCGGCGGAAGATGGACGCACTCAATTCCAAGCTACAAATAAAACATCTAAGGATAATGATTTGAAACGACATGAACCAGAGTTGTTACTCGGAAAACAGAGTAAAAATGAAAAATGTGCCACTCAGTCTCCTACCGTTGACACAATTACCACTCAGGACTTATCTAAACCAAGAAACATCTTCAATGTCAAATTCTGGAAAACTGACCAATCTCCAACAGTAACGTCTGTAGAGGCTATAGCTTCCGAAACCTCGGCTGATGTTACTCTAATTAACAAAAATAGCAAAGATGGCTTTAAAGTTGTCACCTCTCAGAAAAGGAGGAAATCAAAATCAATCATAGGAACAGGTGGTGACAAAGATACCCAAAACTTCAGTGGCGTGGAGAAAACACTGTGGTTTTGCATTAGGCGTACACATCCCAAAACTCAAGAAGAAAATATCTTGGAATACTTACGAAAAAACTCCTCTGATGGAATAACGTTCACCTGCGAAAAAGTGGAATCCAGAAGTCAATATCCTGTATTCAAAGTAAGCGCTCCCTTCAGCGAAAAGGAACGTATATACGATTCTGGGTTTTGGCCACCTGGTGTGCAAGTAAGCAGATTTTATTTCCCAAGATCGGTTTTTACAGAAACAAAAGAGGATGTAGTGAAAACATAGAACAAAACGTACTTCGGTTATTACACCAAAACATGCAAGGTCTAGGTAACAAAGTAGAAAAACTTGAGGTCGTTTTAGAAGAACGTACACCTGATATCTTATTATTAAGCTAACATCGGCAATGCATCGACCAAATTCAGTTTATAAATTTGGAAAATTATTCTTTATGTTGTAGCTTTTGTCGGGATAAAAATAAACATGGAGGAGTAGCGATCTATACGAAGAATAATATAAGGTCTACAACTTTACTACAATTTCAGAAACAATCGGTAACTAACATCATTGAATGCTGTGGCATAGATATATTGGACATGAACCTTATCGTTATTGCTTTGTATAGGCCTCCTTCTGGAAATTTTAACCTATTCTTAGATCTTTTAGCGGATATGCTATCCATAATTCCCTATAACAAAACAATTATTGTTACAGGCGATTTTAATGTAGACTTCTTGAATGACTCCCCAGATAAAAAGTACTTATTAGATTTATTAATGACCTTCAATTTAGTTCATACCATATCTGAACCGACTCGGAATCATGCCTGTCTTGACAACATTTTCATCTCTGCAGACACCCCCAGTTATTACACACAAGTGTTAAATCTTAGTCTAGCTGACCATCTTGCACAAGAGATAGGTATTTCCAAAAATAGTTCCCCTAATCAAAATAAAAAACCACCTCACTACAAATCTATACGTAATTTCAAAGAAGAAAATTATCAACATTTTTACGATGCACTAAAAAATCAGGACTGGTCCCCATTATATGATATAACTGACACTGAAGCAGCTTTTGATTTTTTCATGTCAATCTTTAACAGACTTTTCGACTTGTCATTCTCAATAAAACAAATTAAGTGCACATCTAAGGAACATAAAAAAAAAGTGGATTACACCGGAAGTTCGTAACTTAAAAAAGACTGTTTCCCTATATGCAGATCTTAGTAAACACTTTCCCATTTTTAAAGATCAATTCAAAAAAATAAATAAAGAGTATCAAGAGGGGTTAATAAAATCAAGGCAAAATTACAACGAACACAGGTTACTCACATCTTCTAACAAAAACAAAACAATGTGGGAGATTATTAGAGAATCTTCAAATAAAGTAAAAACAAGGGGTGAAATACGAATCTCTGAAAATGGACATGTGTTAACTGATCTAGCTTGTGCTAATCTTTTCAATAAAAATTTCTCAGAATTGGCTCTAAATATAATTGACGATAACGTAGTAAATAACTCCGATTTTCTACTTAATAACATTGATTTATCGCCCTATAGTTTAAATTTTTTACCAATCACAGGTTCTGACATTCTTCAGATCATACACAAACTGAAGAATTCTAAATCTGCTGGACATGACGAAATACCTAATAGCGTCTTTTAAAAAGTGGGAAAAACTATTTGCGAACCTATAGCACACATTATCAATTTGTCGTTATTAAATGGTCATTTTCCCAACTCCCTAAAAAAGGCTATAATAGTTCCACTGCATAAAAAAGGTGACGACCAACTAATCACCAATTATAGACCTATTAGTATTTTATGCAGTCTATCTAAAATTTTTTAACACGTTATTAACAATGGTATTACATCTTTTTTGACAACACATCAGTTAAAAGATCCTTCGCAGCATGGCTTCACAAAGGGAAAAAATTTAGACACAGCATTGGCAGCTTATCTTTCTATAATCTCTACTTGTATAGACAAAAACATTCCCTGTCTGGGATTATTCATCGACTTCACGAAGGCCTTTGATTGTGTAAGTCATTCCCTATTACTCAAAAAATTAGAACGATACGGTGTAAGAGGCCTTACAGCTGTTTAGGTCCTATCTATCCGGCAAAACACAAAAAGTGTTGGTAAATAACACCCTTTCGGCAGAAGTAGGCATCACTGTAGGAGTGCCACAAGGATCTATTCTTGGTCCTATTCTGTTTATAATTTTCATTAATGACTTATTAATGCTCATGAAAAAGTCTTTTAACTGCTCAGTAATGTCATATGTTGACGACACTAATTTCATAATCACAGGTGGCGATACCACTGAAGTCATTAATAAGGCGACAAATATTTACACTTTAGCACAAAAATGGGTCACAAAAAATAAACTGTGTATTAACCACGAGAAAACGGCATTTACTTTTTTCTCCAATACCGCAAATTGTGCTGAATTCACACTCAATTTAAATAATATAACCATTGCGTGTTCGCCGTCTATCAAACCACTGGGTATCTCCTTCGATTACCAAGACAGCACAAGACAGCCCACTATCAGAGAAGTTTGCATTTTAATTGCTGCAAATTTTTTAACAGTCTTGACTGCGACATTAAAAATGCGTCTAATTTTCTTGTCTTTAAATCTGAAATAAAAAAAATTCTATTAAAAAAAAATTATTACGCAATTAGCGAATTTCTAACATAGCATATCCGCTATATTTTATTAAATGTATAAGTTTCTAATGTACTGTACCTTTATGTTAATTGTTTTCCTTTGACAATTCTTTCTTAAATCTATTATAATTGTTGTGTAGATTTTCTGAAAGTTAATAAATTATTATTATGGTCAAATTGAGTGCTTATTATTTTCATTTAGTTTCTTCAGCAAACTCTATAAGCATTTTTCCATTTTCATTGTTTTCTTTATGTAGACTTTTTCCTCCAGTGATATGCCGGAAGTCTTCTTCTTTTCCTACTTTTGTATTTGTGTCCCCGAAAAATATTTTTATGTCATATTTTGGAATTTGTCTTATTATATCTGCAATCGTTTCATAGAATTCATTTTTTATTTCTATGCTTATTTTTTTATATTTTCCTCGGATTCTTATGTAACTTATTCTGTCCGATTTTGATTTGAAGTCGATCACGGTCCTCTGCATCCTTTCATTCACTATAAATCCAAAATACGTTTTTTCTTATCTCCATAACTTCATTTCCTTGCTGCTTTGTTTCTTGTAGGGATAATATGTCCAGCCGATACTTTTCCAATGTGTCTATCAGGTTTCTCAAAGCTCCTTCTTCGTAAGTGTCTCGTACGTTCCATGTTCCCAATTTAATTGTTGTTCTATCACCTTTATTCTCCTTTCCTGCTGCTTTTTTTCTTGTTTTTCCATTTCGTGTCCCTTTATCTCGCCATGTCGTTTTCGTACGTTCCGAGTTTTTTTCCGCCTTGGCTAGTTTTTTAATTCTTTGTTTTTGTCTGTATCAATCTCATTTTCTTCCTTATTCCATCTCCATGATTCTCCCTCTATTATAATCTTTTAATATCCTACCTTGATTCTCTTCCCCTTATTCCTTTCTAGCTATTCTTCTAAATTCCTTTTGTATTATTCTTTCTTCCTTTGTCATGTCATCATTTCTGTAAATTGGTTCGTCATTTCTGCTTTTTAATTTACTTTTGTGCTTCAAAATTTTGCTCGCCAAAAAACATCACTTTTAATCCCAATAAAACAATACACTATTTTTGAAAATTAATTAAGCACTGTAGAAATTTTAAACAATGATCGTAGAATAACGTCACAAATAATACTGAAACAACCAGAATTAGCTGTTTTTTTTTTAAATATCAGCAGTCATGAGAAAAGAAAGAAAAAGTAAATGCAACAACAATGCGTTACATACCCACAGAAAAAAAAAAGAAATGTGATTCAAATGTCAAAGATGCAGCTAGACTTCCTGCTTTTCCAAAGTCTTTTAATCAAGTAATGCACCCACCTTTCACTTTCGTTTGTGTTCATTCACTTCAAATAAACGCTATCTCTAAATAACTCATTCAATCTCGTTACTTAATATTCACATACCTCTTCCTCTAGGGAACATACCTGAAAGCAGATGACGAAAACACAATCGAAGAATCGCACTTCGACCCAAACAAAAGTACAAAATTTATAGTTCATGGCTTCATCGATACGCCCTTGTCGAATTGGGTAACATAGATTACGTTAATCCTACCGCACTTTCATCTCATTTAAGCATTTTAGGTAATAGATATGAAAGATGAGCTGATCAAAGCCGATGATATGAACGTGATCGTGGTGGACTGGGCGGGAGGAAGTCTGCCTTTGTATACACAAGCTACGGCAAACACGAGATTGGTAGGAATGGAGATTGCACATTTAATAAAATTCCTAATGGTAAGATATTAATAAAGAAAAAGTAGGTTTGTTTGATATGGGGTTCACTACTTGAACAGATTTAGTAGAGCATGAGTGGTTCATTTAAATTTAAATACACACTTACTAATTTCAGAAAAAATATGACGTGGATACCGGCGATATTCACATAATTGGCCATTCCCTAGGAGCACATACAGCGGGGTATGCTGGTTCACTTATTTCCAAAATAGGAAGAATCACTGGATTAGATCCAGCCGAACCATTTTTCCAGGTGAGGACACGCATAACTAGAAAATTATATATAATATAATGCACTGTGTTCAATTTTTTTACAGGGAATGCCTGCACACGTAAGACTGGATCCCACAGACGCAGAATTCGTTGACGTCATTCACACAGACGGGAAAGGCATCATCTTTCTCGGTAAGAGAGCACAATATGCAACTTTCTTGGCATTAGTTATGGTACGTTATCCGAAATAATATAAATTGGAACAAAAATCGCTGCATCAAATAGAGCCTAACCAAAAGCGAAATTCATCCAAATAATGAAAAACATTTGTTTTATTAATAGCACTTTAGCACAGTCATCGTTCTTTGTGTAATGGTATGCATTAAAAACTTTCTCATGCACCGACGTGTCAATATGTAATCGTTTTGTAAACCCTGCTATCGCATGTTGCAAAAATTGAAGAAAGCTTGAAATCGACAAAAATATGCGTTCGTTCTCGTTATGGATAAACGGTTTGTAGATTTTTATAAAAAGCGTTAACAATTAGCGGCTAGCCATATTTTGGCAATGAATGTAGGTAATTAAAAAGAGAAAAATAATAAAGTGCGTTGTCGCTGCTTTTCTATTCTGTCGTTGAAGAAAATAGAAAATGTGTAAATTAACAAAACACAAAAAATGTAGAGAAAAACTGTTGTTTGACTCATTTGATTGCATTTAATTTTAATATATGTATATTTCGTATTATGTTGACTGTTGGCCAATCCAGAAGACCAAGTGTCATGATTTTATATATAATAATGTTACAAATTTTATATATAATAATGTTATAATGTTAGAATCTGATCAGTAAACCTCAATTTGAATCATCGAAAAGTCGAAAAATGTATAAATTAAAAAAAAACAAAATTCGAGGAACTGAAAAACACGAAAAGTGGAAAAATTTATCGGAAAATGAAAAATCTAAAAGTCCAAAAATCGAGAAATCGGAAAACTGAAAAAATATAAATCAGGAAATCGAAAAATTGAAAAATCAAATCAATTCTCATGATTTGATTTTTTATTCAAATTTACGAACTGAAAAATAGAAAAATTCGAAAAATCGTGAAATCGAAAAATCGGAAACTGAGTAATCGAAAAATTAAAAAAATCCAAAAGTGACAATCTGAAGAATCGAAAAATTGAAACAACGAAAATGTGAAACATCGAAAAGATGAAAAATAGAAAAGTCAAAAACCGAAAAATCCAAAATTCGGTAAATTGAAAAATTGAGAAATTAAAAAAGTCGAAAAATCCCAAAATCGATTATCAAAAAACCGACAAATTTTTCGACTGTTAGTTTTAAATTCTCGATTTATCAAGTCCTATTTTTTGACTTCTCGATTTTTCATTTTTCCGATTTCCCAATTTTTCGATGTTTCCATTCTTCGATTTCCCAGTTTGCTACTTTTCGATAACTTGATTTTTCGACTTTTTGATTTTCGACTTTTACATTTTGTAGATTTTTGTTTCTCAATTTTTCAATTTATCCAATTTTGGATTTTTCGGTTTTCGATTTTTCCATTTTTCAACTTTTCGATGTTTCAAATTTTCGTTGTTTCAATTTTTCGATTCTTCAGATTGCCACTTTTGCAATTTTTTAATTTTTCGATAACCCAGTTTCCGAGTTTTAATTTTTCGAATTTTTCGATTTTTAATTTTCCGACTCCTGAAATTCTATTTTTCAGTTCGTAAATTTTATTAAAAAATCAAATCATGAGAATTGATTTGATTTTTCAATTTTTCGATTTCCCGATTTCTATTTTTTCAGTTTTCCGATTTCTCGATTTTTCAATTTCTAGATTTCTCGATTTCTATAATTTTCCATTTTTCGATTTCTCGGTTTTTCGACTTTTAGATTTTTCGTTTCATCTTGCGATTTACCGATTATTCGATTTTTCGATGTTCCAATTTTTCAATTCCTCAGTTTTCAGCTTTTGATTTTTGGAAAACTTGATTTTTCGATTTTTCAATTAATTTTGATTTTTCTATTTTTAGATTTTTCAATGATTCAAATTGTTGATTTTTCAACATACCGGTATTATAGTTACGATTTTTCGAGTTTTTGGTGTTACAATATTTTTTATTTTTCAATCTGTCGATTTTTTGATAATCATTTTTGGGATATTTCATTTTTTCGATTTTTCAATTTTTCGAATGTTGTATGCTTCAAATTTTCGATTTATTAATTCCTCGATTTATCAATTTTTCGACTTTTCGATTCTTCGGTTTTTCGATTTTTCAATTTTTTGATTTCCCGATTATTCCATTTTGCGATTCTAGTTTTCTGGTTTCGCAAATTTTTCGATTTTTTGTTCTTTAGTTTTTCGATTTTTCAATTTTTAGATTTCTATAATTTTCAGTTTTTCGATTTCTCGGTGTTTCGACTTTTAGATTTTTTGTTTCATTTTGTGATTTACCGGTTATTCGATTGCTCGATTTCCCAATTTTTCGATGATTCAGTTTTTTAATTTCTCAATTTTCAATTTTACGATTTTTCAATAACTTGATTTTTCCACTGCAAAAGTCGAAAAATCCCAAAATCTATTATCAAATAATCGACAAATTGAAATACTGAAACATCAAAAAGTCGAAAAATCGCAACTATAATATCGATACGTTAAAAACTCAACAATTTGAATCATCGAAAAATCGAAAATTGAAAAAATCAAAATTAATTGAAAAATCGAGAAATTGAGAAAGTGGAAAAATCAAGTTATTGAAAAATCGTAAAATTGAGAACTGAGAAATTGAAAAACTAAAACATCGAAAAATTGGGAAATCGGTAAATCGCAAAATGAAACAAAAAATCTAAAGGTTGAAACACCGAGAAATCGAAAAACTAAAAATTAATATAAATCTAAAAATTGAAAAATCGAAAAACTGAAGAACAGAAAATCGAAAATTTTGCGAAACCAGAAAACTAGAATGGCAAAATTGATAAAACTAGGAATTGATAAATCGAAATATTGAAACATCAAAAAGTCGAAAAATCGCAACTATAATATCGATACGTTGAAAAATCAACAATTTGATCATCGGAAAATCGAAAAATGGAAAAATCAAAATTAATTGAAAAATCGAAAGATCAAGTTTTCGAAAAATCGAAAGCTGAAAACTGAGAAATTGAAAAATTGAAACATCGAAAAATCGAATAATCGGTAAATCGCAAGATGAAACGAAAAATATAAGAGTCGAAAAACCGAGAAATCGAAAAATGGAAAATTATAGCAATCGCGAAATCTAGAAATTGAAAAATCGAAAAATTTACAAAATCAGAAAACCAGAGTCGAAAAATTGTAAAACCTACGAATTTATATATCGAAAATTTGGAACATCTAATTAGTTGAAAAATTGAAAAATGAAACAATCCAAAATACTGAAAAATCAAGAAATCGAAAAACCAAAAACCATGAAATCACGTAATTAAAAATAGAAAAGTCGAAAAATTGAATAATCGAAAAAACGACAAACTGAGGAATCAAAAAACTGAAAAATCTACAATTTGAAACATCGAAAAACGGAAATTTGGAAAAACTGAAAAAACGACAAAATGAAAAATCGAAAAATCGAGAAATTGCAAAAGTTGAAAAATCGTTAAATCGAAAGATCGAAAAGTCGAATTATTATTATTATTATTATTATTATCAAATAATCGAAAAATGGACAGAGTGAGGAACCGAAAAATTAAAACATCAACAATCTATAAATAAAATCGAATAATCGGTTTTAAATGGAGTGAAAAATCTAAAAGTCGAAAAATCGAAAAATCGGAAAACTGAAAAAATAGAAATCGGGAAATCGAAAAATTGAAAAAATACAATTGTCATGATTTGATTTTTTAATCAAATTTACAAACAGAAAAATAAAAAATTTAAAAATTTCAGGAGTCTAAAAATTCGAAAAATCGTGAAATCGAAAAATCGGAAACTGAATAATCGAAAAATTAAAAAATTGAAAAAGTGGCAATCTGAAGAATCGAAAAATTGAAACAACGAAAATTTGAAACACCGAAAAGTTGGAAAATGGAAAAATCGACAACAGAAAATTCCAAAATTCGATAAATTGAAAAATTGAGAAACAAAAATCTACAAAATGTAAAAGTCGAAAATCAAAAAGTCGAAAAATCAAGTTATCGAAAGAAAAGTAGCAAACTGGGAAATCGAAGAATGGAAACATCGAAAAATTAGGAAATCGGAAAAATGAAAAATCGAAAAGTCGAAAAATAGGAATTGATAAATCCAGAATTTAAAACTAACAGTCGAAAAATTGAAAAATCGAAAAAATGAAGAATTGAAAAATCGAGAAACTGAAAAGTCGAAAAATCCCAAAATCGATTATCAAAAAACCGACAAATTGAAATATTGAAACATCAAAAAGTCGAAAAATCGCAACTATAATATCGATACTTTGACAAATCAACGATTAATAAACATTATTATTATTATTATTATTATTATTATAATGATGAATATGTCTTTAGAGCGTCATTTGGCCATTAACGAGCGGTATAGCGCGTCGCTCGAACGTCGCTAAATCGTTGTAAGATCGCCCCCTAAAAGAGTCATAGGACGTCGAAAATTTGCTCTCACAACGTCGACGTGCTAAAATCTCGTAACACGTAAGGTTTAAAATTGCAAACCACGCATTTGAGACATGATTTCTCTCTAGATGGCGCCAAGGGATATTGAATTGGAATTACACTTTGACGGTCGAACTATGTTCTCTGGTCGAACATTGTTAACTTGCATTTTTACAGCAACAATACGTCGCTTTAACGATCTTAGAATTTGTGAAAAACATTTACCAAAGTGTGATCAATTTTTCTTCTTTTACTTTTTTTATATTTTACTCTTACGTCATTTTTGTTATTATATGAAATAAATTATGGTTATTTTTAACAATACATGAAATTCCTTTCACATATTTCTTTTTAATAAACAGCTGGCATGAGATTTTGTTGGGGCTTTTAGTGAATTCAACTAAACCTGATTAGGCCCAGGCAAATGAATTTTCACGTATCGACAATTGCGTTTACGTGTTTGTCTGAAATCTTCAGACGTCTACGCCTGGTGCGCCGAAACGATGCCGAGATGAGCCCTAGCTAAAACATTTTGCCGACGAATGCACCTTTGCATGTGGTTAATTAATCTATC